GAGAGCAGAAACAGAAATAGCTTTATTCGTGGGTGGGGGAGCTCCCGGAAGAGGTACCAGGATCTAGGCCAACAGGTCAGGGAAGTTGTGCTCAGCAGCTGGGGGCGAGGGTTTTTAAAGGGGTGGTGAGGAATGTATGGCAATTAAGGTAATCAGCATATGGCATCTGGAAACCTCTAGAATTGCTTGTCAACTCGGCTTTCTTTGAGCCCAGAACATCTGGTTCCACTGGTTATCTTACATGGAGTCGGCTGCTGCTGACTTCTGGGATGTGCAGGGAAGCACGTGCAGGGCCCGGACCTGCTTCAGCTTAGTCCAAACGGGGGCTGCCTAGTTCAGACCCGACCCAAACACTCCAGACTTCTTAATATTGGTAATGGGTTGATGTTTTTGTCTTAACTACTTCCTGCTGAGATAGGGCAAAGAAGGGGGGGGGCTGGATTAAGAGTTGGAAGGTCTGGGGGCTGAGCCAGTCGGCAGGGGCTGTAAGGGTGAAGAAGCTGATTGAAGGTCAGGTTGGAGCTATCTTTCATACATTCCTGCAAGAATCTAAACACACAAAAGAGCTAAAAGCAAAAGTACACAGATTATTATCAGAGGCTCGATGAGGGGTATAATCCAGGCCATTGCGGGATTTTGAAACCATGAGAAGCTGGTGGTGCTCCATTGACATTTCCTGATTTTATTGGCCATGGTGCGGAGTACCTTAATATTTTGTTTAACTATGCCTGATTTCATTAATATAATAACAACAGTCTTTATTTGGAAACATGCATGTTCCTCTTTTATCTGCTGTTAATAAGTCAAGAGCTTGGTGATTTTGTAGGGTGACTAAGGATGTTAACTGTCTTTGGAGGGAGACGAGAGTTATCAGTTTGATGTTTTTGGCAATGGATGATGGCTATTTTTGCTGGCAGCTGAAGAGCCTGTAAGAGATTAACTATTAATTTACCGTTTACTATGGGGGACCCTCTGGTAGTCACAAAATTCCCACTCCAGGTGGTGGCATGACAATGAGCTATAAGGAATGCATAATTAGAATCAGAATATATATTAGCCGTTTTTTTCCCTTTAGCTAGATAGAGCGCTCAAGTGAGAGCAACAAGTTTCGCTTTTTGAGGAGTAGTTTTTCTTGTGGGGGATGCAGCTTTCCAGACTTGGTCAAGTGAGAGGATAGCATAAGCAGCCTGCTGTTGCCCCCTGGGCA